CAGTGCTGACTCATAGCAACCCTGTATAGGGTTTCTGAGGAGTGACTGGTGAATTTGAATAATCTACTTTGTGGTTCAAACCAACCTTGTGGCCCAGAACTTGATTTTACAGTGTCACTAAACAAAGTTCTATGACAGCTCACCATGGGGGGGAGTCTGGGTAATGAGCACATAGGACTTCTCTCTACTGTCTCTACCGTTTTTGTAACTTTTTGTGGTTCTATAACTAATTCAAACTAAAAGGTTTTTTTTCAAAACTGGAAAAAAAAATCACTAGACATTCAAAGATGCAGAAAATGAAATGTATCAAGTAAGCAGTGCTGGCTCTCCTTTATCCTCATTTTCAGTTGCTGTTGTTGTTAGGTGCCACCAAGATGGTTCTGACTCATAGTGACCCCACATACAACAGAACGAATGATGGCTTTGTCTTGTGGGGTGGTTTGTAGAATGGGCTTTTCTTCCTCAGCCCCCAGTTTCTTTTCAGAGTGAAAGTCTATGGACTGAGGAATGCCAGACATATCAAGCAGGACTGCCCCTGCCTCTGCCTAATTTGTTGTTGTCCATAAAAAAGAAACATTTTTAAACTATTGTATATTGCTAATGCAGTGGTCTTGCAGTCCTGGCAGGCTGCGGAAAGCACTACATTGCTGCTTGCCTGCCCACAACCATCCCAAGGCTACCTTGTCAGACAGGATCTCTTTTTGGAATGTCCATGGGAAAGGGTTTGCAGCATCCATCTGTCTCTTGCTCTATACAGCCAGCACCATATTTGGAAGAGACTATCTTCCCCATTTAATGTGTTTATCCTTTGTCAAAGATCAACTGAGCATTGTTGTTGTTAAGTACCATCAAGTCAGTTCTGACCCACAGTGACCTTGTATAGGGCTTCCGAGAACAGCCAGTGAGCTTGAACCACCGACCTTGCAGTTCAAACTAACTTTGCAGGCCAGCACATTAAAACCCACAGCACCACACCAGGACTCTCAACTGAGCGTAGATGGATGGATTTACTTCTGCGTTCTCGATTCTGTTCCATTGATCTATATGTGCCTTTTGTTGTCCCGGTACCAGGCTGTTTTGACTACTGTGGCTGTAGGCTTTGAGATAGGGAAGTGAGAAACTCCTAGTTTGTTGTTCTATTTTAATAGTGCTTTGCTTACCCAGGCTCTCTTTCCGTTCCATATAAAGTTAATGATCAGTTTTTCTGTCACTTTAAAAAGTGTGGGAAACTGGATTGGGATTGCATATCTATAGATTGCTTTTAGTGTTGACATTTTCACAACGTTAAATCTTCCTATCCACAAGCATGGTCTATTCTTCCATTTTTGTAAGTCTCTTTTGGTTTCTTGTAGTTTTCTTTATGTAGGTCTTTTGTTTCTCCAGTTAGATTTATTCCTAAGTACTTCATCTTTTAAGGATCCCCAGTGGCATAGTGGGTTACACAAGGTCAGCAGTTCAAATCCACCAACTGCTCTGCAGTAGAAAGATGAGGCTGTCTGCTCCCATAAAGATCTACAGCTGTGGAAATTCTATACGGGGTCGCTCTGTGTCAGAACTGACTCGAGAAGCCGCAGCATCTCATCTGGGTGGCTACTGCAAATGATAGTGTTTTCCTGATTTCCTTTCCGGAGGTCTTTGTATGAGTATAAAGGAATTCAACTGATTTTTGTATGTTACTCTTATATCCTGCCACTTTGCTGAATCTTTCAATGAGTTCCAATAGTTTTCTTGCTGAGTCTTTGGAATTTTCTAAGTATAGGATCATATCACCTGTACATAGAGTTTTCCTTCTTTTTTGCCAATTTGGATGCCTTAAATTTCCCTTTCTTGCCTTATAGCACTGGCTAAGCCTTCCAACTGAATAGAAGTAGTGGCAGAGAGAATCCTTGTCTGGTTCCTGTTCACAGGGGGATGCTTTCTGTTTCTCTCTATTCAAAGTGCTGCTAGCTGTTGGTTTTGTATTGTTGTTGTTGTTAAGTGCTGCCAAGTCAGTTCCAACTCAATGAGACACTGTATAGGGTTTCCAAGGAGCAGCTGGTAGGTTTGAACTTACAACCTTGTGGTTCAAAGAGACCTTGCAGTCCAGTGATTTATCCCACAGCATCACACCAACAGGAATGAGTGTTGGGTTTTGTCAAATACTTCTTCTGCATCGACAGATATGGTCATGTGGAGGGTTTTCCTTTTGTTTTATCTATGTGATAGATTATGTTGATTGCCTTTCTAATATTGAACCATTCCTGCATACCTGGTATGAATCCCACTTGATCATGATGAATTATTTTTTTGATACATTGTTGGATTCTATTGGCTAAGATTTTCTTGAGAATTTTTGCAGTCGTGTTTATGAGGGATGTTGGTCTTTAACTTTGTTTTTAGTGATGTCTTTGCCTGGTTTGGGTATCAGAGTTATGCTAGCTTCATAATAGGAATTCTGCACGCGGTCATCTTTTCTATATTCTGGAACAGTTTGAGTAGAATTGGCGTCAGCTCTTCTCTGAAGGTTTGGTGGAACTCACCAGTAAAGTCACCTTTACTGGACATCTGTTTGTTGGGGATTTTTAATGACTTGATCAATTTTCTCTTTTGTTATAGCTCTGTTCAAGTTTTCTACTTCAGTCTGTGTTACTTTAGATAGGTCATATGTTTCTAGAAATGAGTCCATTTCTTCTAGATGTTTTCATTTGTTGGAGTACAGTTCTTCATTGTTGTTGTTAAGTGCTGTCGAGTCGGTTCCAACTCATAGCGACCCTGTATTGGGTTTCCAAGGAGCAGTGGTGGATTTAAACTGCTGACCTTGTGGTTCGCAGTCCGGTGCTGCTCCTACAGCGCCACGCCAGGAGTCCTCAACTCTTCCTAGTGTTCTGGTATTATTCTTTTATTTCCCTTTGTTCCGTTGTGCTGTCACCCATATCATTTCTTCTTCATGTAATTTAAATTTCCTCCTTTTCTCTGATTAGATTTAGTACTGATTTGTTGATTTTATTAATACTTTCGAAGAACCAACTTCTTGTCTTAATGATTCTTTCTATTGTTCTTCTGGTTTCTGTTTCATTTATTTCTGCTTTAACCCTTACTATCAATCTTCTTCTGGTGGTTATAGCCTGACTTTACTGCTCTTGTTCTAATTGTTGTCAGTTTGGGGGTCAGGTGTTGATTTTGGATGTGTGGGTTTATTGCTATCAGTTACTCTCTGTGCACTGCCTGCTTTTGCTGTGCCCCAAATGTTTTGATAAGTTGTGTTTCATTCTCATTTGATTCGAGGAGTTTTTCATTTCGTTATTAATTTCTTCTATTACCCAGTAGCTTTGAAGCAGGTGTTATTCCGTTTCCATGGATTCGATTTTCTTTATTCCCTTGATTTTCATCATTTGATTTTTCACTGTTGATTGTGGATCCAAGTAAAATTAAATCGATGACAACTTCAATGTTGTCTCCATTTATCATGATGTTGCTTATTGGTCCAGTTGTAAGGATTGTTGTTTTCTTTATATTGAGATGTGTAATCCATGCTGCAAGGTCAGTTTGAACCAAAAGTTCGATGGTTCAAGCTTACCAGCCTCTCCTCAGAAACCCTATACAGGAACCAACTCGACAGCACTCAACAACAGCAACAATCAATACTGAAAGTTGTCATCTTTGTTCTTCATCATTGAGTGCTTCTTCACTTTCAGCAAGCAAGGCATGCATGTCGCATGTTATTAATGAGACTTCCTCCAATCCTGATGCCATATTCTTCTTCTTGGATTTGTTCAGCATACAGACTGAAGAAGTGTGATGAAAGAATATAACCTTTGCTTCCAGTTGCTACGGTTGTTGTTAAGTGCCATCGAGTTGATTCCAACTCAGAGTGTCTCTGTATAGGGTTTCCAAGGAGCAGCTGGTGAGTTTGAGTCACCAACCTTGAAGTTCAAACGACTTTGCAGTCGGACACATTAACCCACAGCACCACACCAGGGCTATTGTTGTTGCTGTTGTGGTTGTTATGTGCTGTGGAGTCGGTTCCGACTCATAGCGACCCTGTATAGGGTTTCTGAGGTGGATCTTTACCAGAGCAGAAAGCCTCATCTTTCTCCCGCAGAACAGCTGGTAGTTTTGAACTGCTGCCTGTGAGATTAGCAGCAGGAAACTTTAACTATACATTGCCTGGCACATAGTAAGTGCTCAATATTTGTCACTTTTATAATTATTATGCATGTGGGAAACTCTCCCAGTCCTCTGATATGGAAAATCACAAGCAAAGGATTCCGTTCTCACTGGTACCGAGTGAAAACAGAAATCCACGCTGCTCAGTATATTCAATCAAGGCAGTTTGCATTCATTTTCCTAAAGAAGGCCCCCAAACTGTTCAAGCTTCAGCCCCCACAAAGCGTGGATCTGCCTGCATGCGTCGGGATGTAGAATCTAACTCAGGCCACCGCCCCCTCCTTCAGTGGGAATATGTGTTGATGCCGCTCTCTGCCTCTCCTGCTGCCACATGGTGCAGAATTACTTCTGTACTCCAAGTTCCACACATGACTAAGCAATTTCTATAGTGTTCTGAGGTTCTTGGGTGGCATAAATGGTGTTTGACTAATGACCTAAAGATTGGTGGTTCAAACCCACCCAGTGAGATCGCAGAAGATAGGCCTGATCATCCACGTCCTTTCAGCTCACAGCCAAGAGCAGAGCTAGGCTGCCAGGCCAGGGTCAGAGTCAATGACAGCAGGTTTGGGTTGGGGGCATGGATGGTGTAGAAACTGCCCTCCATTGTCCTACCACAAACCTTAGCTTAGCCAGATGTCAGAAGAATGCAAAACCTTGCCACCAGGCAAGCAAAAGTCATCCTATTGTAGGGTCCTGGCCATCCATCATGGTACCCGCTAACCCAGGGGGGACTCTTGGGGTCAGCAGTCCTCCGAGACTCCAGGCATCACCCAAGAGAAGCCAGGCCCACCAAGGGCTAGTGTCCACCGGCTCATTGCTGTCACTCATCCGGCTTTTCCTTCATGTCACCAAAGGGTTCGTGGCGTCCATCATGGGCAGAAGGAGACCCCTGCCAAGCATCCATTCACAGGACCAGCAGCTGCGGGCACAAGCAGAGCGGCAGGCAGTGAACTTCATTGTTCAAGGTACAGTGAGGCCCCTGACAGGCCTGCTGCCCCGCCCCTGTCCCCAAAACCCCGCACATCCTGGCCTGGACCTACTCCAATAGACTGTTGGCATGAGGAGTCCCTGAGTGGTACTAAGCTGTTAACCAAAAGGTTGGTGGTTTGAACCCACTCAGGAGCCCCTCAGAAGAAAGACCTGGTGATCTCCGTGGTTTTCCAGGTTGCTTTGTTGCCGTGACCTTTCCTGCTCCTCATGAACCTTCCTCCAGAGAGCAACCCCAGTGTCTGTCACCCTGGTGTGACTGAAACAATGCTTGTGGGTGAGGGCTCCATCCTGTCATCTTTGTCACTCCAGGAGAAAGTACTTTCACAGGGGCTCCAGGTGCTTACCTAGCCCCGCTAGGGTCAGACCTGGAGACTCTGTCCCATGACACTCCTGCCTAGCAGGTCCTGCACCTCCAAATAAGGCATTGCTACCCAACATTCGTAGAAGAATTGATGCCTTGAATTGTGGTGTTGGAGGAGAATACTGAAAGTGCCATGGACTAAAAGAACCAATAGATCTGTTTTGGAAGAAGTGCAGCCAGAGTGCTCCTTAGAGGCCAAGATGGCCAAACTTTGTCTCTCATAATTAGGACATATTGTCAGGAGGGAACAGTTGCTAGAGAAGGATGTCATGCTGGGTAAGATGGAGGGTCAGAGAAAAAGAGGAAGACCTCCAACAAGATGGATTGGCCAAGTGGCAGCATTGATGGACTCAAGTGTGGCAGCGGTAGTGAGGTTGGCCCAGGATCGGACATTGTTTCATTCTGCTGTGCCTGGGGTCGCTATGAGTCGGTTCCGACTCGATGGCACCTGACAACAACAACAACATCCCTCCAACACCGCCCATCCCTGAAGGAAAAAGGCAACTGGAGAAAGGGGCACGTGGGTATGGAAACTTCCAGACAGCCCTGTGTCAGCCTGGGCCAGCATGAAAGAGGAGCCGAGCACATGCCCACATTGCAGACATCCGGAGGCCTCGCTCGGAGCCCAGGGAGCCAGAACCCTGACCTCCTAGGTCACAGGTGAAGAACCGAGACTCCCATGGACTGAAGAAAGACCTTGTCAGCCAAGACTCCGTACCCAGGGTACCACCTACCCCCTGCCGGTGTGTCCTGCAGAGGACTGGACTAGGCAGGGGGATGCAGGTGTGAGCCTCAGCAACCTGCAGAGTGGGGGCAGCTGCCAGTTAGAGGCTGCTCAGTGTGACCACCCAGGGCATGTGCTTAGGACCTGAACAACTCCCCCCGGCCCGAGACCTGTGGTCCCACTGGGATTCTCACCAGGAAGCACTGGTCGGTCATAGACACCAAAGTGCAGGTAGGATCCAGATGATTTCCTAAGAATGAAACCAATACCAGGATCTCCTTCCAAACGTTCACCAGGAGGCTTGACCTCAGAACCCAGCTCTCCAGGGCCTCTCACTGCCCGGCTGGGCTGTCTTCCTCAGGGACTGTCCTCTAAATGAGGGAACACCCACCAGGCACCTACATGGTGAGTGAGATCCCCCCAAGGAGCCGCAGCATGGGGGGTAGGGAGGGGTCACAGCAACGGGTCCCCACCCTTGCTCGGTTTCCCACCCCGACCCCCTGTTCCTCATTTCCCCAGCCACTCACCGCCAGAGTCTGGACTGGTATCTCTCCCTGTGTAGAGAATGGTAATGCCCCTGTGTCTCCAAGATACCCCAGGGACCCCTGGGATCCCAGGCCCAGCCACACTGCTGCACTCAGTTTGCAGAGGCAAAGAGGAGAACAGGATTCCCATAGCCACACCCTGGTGGCCAGGAGCAAAGCCGACGGTTCCTGAACAGTTGGCAGGAATGGTCCCGGGCCCTGAGGACAAGCCAGCCTGGCCACAGGGCCTTCCTCAGCACCCGGTCCCGCAGAAAACCATGGGCCGCTGCAGAAGTCGCCCAAACAAGAAGCTGCTTCCCAATATTCCAGGTTCCTGCGGCCATCTTCACCATCCTTATAGGGGCCCAGGCTGTCTTGTTTGGAGTTGCTTCCACATTCAAATGGTTGTGTCCTAATGCCAACAGCGCCTTCTTCCAGAAAGCACGGACAGACACGATCAAACCCGACATGCCCCCATGAGCCCCAAGCCATGTCCAGACACACCTTTGCCAGAATGTGTGTGGTGCGTGTAGACTTGTGAAGAAAGAGTTGGTCTAACATCAGCCCCATAACTCTCCAGTGGTGAGGAAAGTCGCCATCATAGGGACAAGCTCTCTGCTCAGCTGCCGGTATGAGGACTCCAGCCCAAGCCTCCTCAGGGTTCAGAGACGGTGTTTGGGGTGAATTTTGTCCCTTTCCCATCCAGCATTCTTGCCACGCTTGTGGCCTCCTAGACTGTGAGACAGAACACGTGGCCCACAAACCAAGGTGTTTTACCTTTTGTTGGCCAGTTAGAGCCGTCTAATGGCCCAATAGATCCGTGGGCTTCAAGCCTGCTTCCCCGTGATCAAAGCATGTGACGAAGACCAACTGCATGCCTCGTACTGGAAAGAGGCCAGGCCTGGGATGGCACTGCGGGTTAATGCGCTGGACTGCAAGGTCATTTCAACCGCAGTGTCTGCGGTTCAAGCCCACCAGCTGCTCCTTGGAAATGCTATACAGGGTTGCTGGACGGGACCAGCTCAACAGCACTGAACACCAATAGCAACACACTCCAGAGAGGTGGCTGCCGAGCCCCTGTGAATCATGGGAACGCTGCAACCCCACGAGAGCAGCAGTCCGTGAACTGGCAGGTTGGAAGCACTGGTCTGAACCCACAGGCCTGCGCCCTCATCCTGTGAGCCAGTGTGGGGTCATAACCCTACAAGGCCCCAAGGCTCCACTCTGCTCACACACACCTGTGCTGTGGACAAGCCTGTGACCATGACAGGACATCACTCTCGTGTGTAGGTTCTGTCACAGGTCATTTCACAGACGTAATGAAAGTCCCTAATCATGGAGACTATCTACAATGGTGCTGCAGAGTCAGTTCAAATCCACCATCTACTGCATGGGAGAACGATGAGGCTTTGTGTTCCTGTAAAGATTCACAGCCTCGGGAACCCTACCGATGAGACTGAGATGTCTCAAGGAGCCCTGGGGGAGCCGAGAGGTAAGCAGCCCCTCTCCACAGGAGCAGACAAGGCAGGCTGCAGCCTCAGACCCCCTAGGGGAGAGTTCCGCTCCAGCCTACAGGGGCCCAGGGAGTTGGCAGTTCGTGGGGACAAACTCATCAAGACAGTGATGATTCTGGGGGGCCTGATGTAATTAGGTGAGCCCGTTAAAAGAAGCTTTAGAGGTCAGAGTCAGAAAGAGTCCACCCTTACGCTAACTTTGAAGGAGCAAACAGCACACTGGGGCAAAGCCTTGTGATAAGGAACCGAGAGTGGCCTCTAGGGGCTGAAAAGTCCCCAGCCAAGTACAACTGAGTAATTGGGGACCTGAACCATTGGACCACAAGGAAATGAATCTGCCAAGGACCTGAGGGCACATTGTCAACTTTCCCAATGAGGGTACAGCCGGGCTCCTGAGGCCCTGACCCACAGAAACGGTGAGATACGGTGAGATAAGGTAAGATACAGTAAGGTGGTGACTGTGTGGCATGTACTACCAGCTAGACTATTGGGGCTGCCAGCCTCCCCTGGCTAGGCTACGTCAGCCTCAGCCAGGATCTCAGCAGAGCTTCTTTCTGTGTTCCTCAGGCTCCGCTGCCGACCTCTGCAAGCTGGCCATGGTCCACATCTTCGCTGCAGTGGCCACTTCGCCCACCCTGACGGCCAGGTCAGTGTACCATGAGGTCAACCTGTCCAGAGCCCTTGGCCCACCTGGTCAACTGTCCTGCCCAGGGCTTGGCGAGTCAGCTCATGTTGGGGAGTGGACTCTGTGGCTGCCCCACGCATAATGACCCGTTGCTTCCTGTCTGCACAGTCTTCACTCTAAATGTTCAACAACCACCCCTGGGCCCCAGCACCATGATCCCCTTGAGCCTGACCGGCTACCCAGAAGTCCTTGGACACCTTTTTTCTCCCAAGGCTCTGAGGCTGGGCGGGGGGCCAGTGGAGCCCACTCCTGACAGGCATGCCACGGTCAGCAGGCCACTACACCAGCTTGGGACACCTGAGGTCTGTCTGCCCCCTTCCCCCACCCAGGAGGCTAGAAGACTCCACTGCCCCTGCACACGGCACACTGCCCTGGTCCCCTCCCCACTGTCCCTGCTGCCAAAGCCACACACTGCAGACCCTCAGCTGCTGCTGCTCTGGGGACTGACCTGGGACACAGCCCAGTCAGGGCCCCCACCAGTCCCTCAGGTCAGCACTCTCAGCTTCCTGTCTGCCTTACATTTAGGGGGTCAACCGAGGTCCTGGATAACACAAGTGGCCAGTCCAAGCTCCCCTGACCTCAGAAACCCCCAAGACCTCGTCAGATCCCACAGGGTCGTTCCCCCTCTCTCAGGAGGCTCTTTGATCCCTATTCACATGTCCCCACCCACCCCTCGGGACCTATGGGAAGTATTGGGGCAGCGTAATCTTCTTGATTGTAGTGTGGGGAGTTCACCTCAGTGGGCATGTCCCTCAGACTCTTACAGGCTGGGCATTGTGACCTGCTCACCATGGGTGCCCCCACTAGAGAGAGAAGGCCCTGGACACTAGGTCATACACAGCCAGCCTAACTGACCACATGGCCTTCACCTGTGCTCTCGGGTTGTCCCTCCCAGAGCCAGTGGCCAGGGGTGGAACCCCAACGCCAGGCCCATGTGTCCTCCTGCCCACGTGTGCACCACATGGTGAACTGCTCCTGCTGCCCTGGCCAGAGAGCTCGGGGGGTGAGGGGGTCGCGGGTGCACATTTGGAAGAGGAAGGTGACATGGATGCTTACCTTGGACAGCACTTCACATGGGGTTTCCCCTCCCCAGAGCTGAGCAGGGGTCCCAGGAAGGTGGTGGCCACACACCTCCCACTCTTATTATTGTGGTCATCGCTGGGCAGTGGGCAGAGGGGAGGGACAGTGGGTACTGTTTTGCAGGCAGCACCAGTTGCCTGGTGGGGAAGCTGGGAGGCTGCACCCACCTCTGCCTGATGCCATGATCTGTGGAGTCCCAGAAGCCAGCCTGGGCAGTGCAGTGGAGTGGTACTCACTGAGTCCAGGACTGGGTCCTTCTGGAGCCTTGGCAGGACGTCCAGACCTGAGGCTGCCCCATCCACCCCGACAGGAAAGCTGCTACTTCTGAGAGGGCCGAGCCCTACCCGCTTGTATCCACTTGAAAACTGGATGACTCAGCCCCTCGTTTTCCTCTTGCCAGCTCTTCACTGTTTTAGAAACGCTCCTCATCAAACTCCATCAAGCTTACTTGGGGCACAAGCCGGTTCTTGGGGAACGTGGGGCATTCAGTTTACAACCTAGATCTCTTCCCGGAGTGATAGAAATGGGTCTAAAAGGAGCAGATGCCGGCTAAATGCTGATATGCAAATTCAAATTAAAGCTGAAGAAAATGAAAACAAA